CATAGTCCCTTGATCGTACACCTTAGATCTGCACAGTGCTCAAAGGGATGCATGTTACCATATAAACACCTGTATGCTTGGGGCTGGCAACTTTCCAGAAACCCACATCTCAGAAAGGCTCACTGGCCCAAGGGCACGCAGCCAATGGTATCTGGACTAGCATCCAGGTTTTCTGACTCCTGTTCCAGTGTTCCTTCCATGTGATACTGCCTTTGTGTGATTTTTGCTTAAATCATACTTCAGCCTTGGAAAGCCAAGATGGGCGGAAATGATACTCCTCTTTATTGAGCTGGAAAACTGAATAACACATTTATACAGAAAAATTGGCACTAGAAGATAGGTCTTCTCATCTGTTAGGATCTGCATTTTAGATTAAAACCAAAGCAGAGATGGGGGCCCCAAGCTGCCTCAGCACGCTGGGGAACTGCCTCAGGGCACTTTCTAGTTTTTGAACAGAAAAGTACAACTTCCTGTGCCTCAGTTTCCTCTGTTAGGAGTGAAGGAGCTGGAGGGGTGGAGGGGAATACGGAGTTGTTTAGTCGGCACACTAAAGAGTTTCTGTTTGGGATGATGAAAAATTTCTGGAAATGGATAGTGGCAAAGGCTGCACAACACTGTGAAAGTACTTAATGCCACTGAATCACGTACTTAAAAATGGTTAAAGTGGTAAATTTTACGTTACGTATATTTTACTACAATAAAAAAATAAATGAAAGGGATGAGGTTAACTAAAGGTTTCCAAGGTTCTGTTGACTCTGAAAGTCTGTAATTCTTACTCTAATTGGAAATTTCCTCCAAAATTAGCTTGACCTTTCCAAGTGCCTTCTCTCCATCATCTTTCAGAGCTCTGTCCTGCAAGATCCCAACCCTGTTCCCAACTTCCTGAGCTAAGTATCTGGCAGCTGGTGTGTGACTGGGGGTGACGTCTGCACTTAGTCTGTGTCGTGGATGAAGCGGGAGCATGTTGAATGGCTGGAGCAGAGATGAAGTCTTTTTGGAATTATGACAACTTCTTACTCTGATGGATTGATCTTCTCTGCCACAAGAGTGGTATTGAGGTTTTTTTTTTTTTTTTTTAGTTAACCTGCACATAATTAACTAATTGGGCTTAATGAAAAGCTGGGCTGAGAATATTTTATCTTTGAAGACAAAGGCCCGAGTCTGAGAAGTTGGTTCAGGTCTTTCAATCCCATTGTGTGAAGTAGAGAGGTGGCAATGCTGGGGATGGGGGCAGACGAAAAATGCAAGCATTGACAGCCCTCAGACAACTTTTTAGAGGTGGGAGCCTGCCTAACCTGGGTCCTGAGGAAAATCCAGGATAGCCCAGAAAGGATCCAGACTTCTTAGGGGTGGCCATTGGCTAAAAGCAGATGCTGATGCTCCAGCCTGGGATGTCGGTGCAGACGCTGGGGCAGGGGCAGGACTGAGGAAGCTGGCAGGTGGCTGTGTGATTCTCGGCCCAGTAAAAGGCAATCAGCAGTCTCCGCTGTACTGAGAAATTGATTATTAACTTGTTCCCAAGGTACCCTAGTGCTTGATTTTCAGCTTGATTTGGCTCTTCCTCCACGCAGAAACATTTCTTTCCCATATAACAGATCCCTCTTCACTCCCACCCCCAAAGTGAATCAGTACAAGGTAAAGTAAATAAGTAAGATGAACTATGGACAGACATTCGGGCATGTTAGAACAGTTCTCCAAGAGGTGCGGTCACAGATCGGCAGGAGGCTAAGCCGTGAGGGGATGGCATCGACCTACAGCCAACCCTGCAGTGCCCGGCGGCATGGCTCGCATTGCTGGGAGTGGGCAGTGGGGGGTGTACTTGAGAATATGCACAAGCAGGGGACGGAAGAGGATGTAAACATCAGAGCAAACTGCCTCCCTTTACATAATTGGGTGTTCTTGGAAAACCTTGTAAATCAGATTCCTAGGATTCACGTTGCTTTGTTTTCCTCTTAATTAGCTTTCAAAGATGTGCCTGTGTATCTCCCAAAACTCTGTGGCGGAACATGTGCCAGCCCTGAGCGTAGCAAGCAGCCAGTGTGTAAGTAAAGACCCCAGGAAACTGCCCCTGAGAGGAACTTTCCAGTCCACCAACTGAGAAAAAGTAATATCATTCCTGTGGAGGCAGGAGGCAAGCGCCCACACACAGCTAGCACTGGGATCAACATGCTGGCCTCAGGTCAAGGGCAGTCAGTCAGCAGGGCAGGATTTGGCATTTGGAGACCTAGCACAGAGCAGACACACAGGGCACACAGTGCCAGGAACAGAGGGTGTCAGCACAGGCTTCAGATCATGAAGAGCACAGGACACGCTCTCAAAAGGACAACACCTATTGCAGCATCAAATTCAGAAGACAAGGGTGAGACTGGGGGCCAGGCTGGGTCCAGGAATGATGCTCAAAATGATCAGCTGTGTAGCAGGAGGCCTTTAAGAGGTGGCCGCCCACCTGTATTTCAAGTTGAGTCTTTAAGGTTAGCTCTCTTCGTTACTCAACTCCTGGCCATTTTCTTCTGAAATATACGTTGCAATAAGGTTCTACTTACACATCCCTTGAGAAAATTCTCAACTCATGTTGAACAGGTTGACTTTCTATATCTTATTTGTTATTTGTGTCTGAAAATACCAGCAGTGCCAAGATGCCTGCTTTCCCTCTGCACCTGCTCATACACTCAGAATTAATTTCAAGCTGGCAGTGCAGCTTGAATGCAGCTTCAGAGAGTCATGGAAGCTTGGAAGGGTCCATATGGCATATACGATGGCTGCATGTGCACCTACTATGGAAATCTTGGGCTAACCAGAATATTTGCAGCTTCCAGCCACATGCCCCTTGAGGGTTCCAGTTAATTGAAATTTCTACCTAAAGGAAACTTTGTGCCTCAACTACTGTATTTGAAAACTTTTTGGACATACATCAACACAATATTTGGCTTTCCTCTGTTCAGCATGAATATCCTAATGTCTTGGCTTATGCATCTCTTAGCACCTCCCAGGGACCCATCTCATTCAGCCCACGCAAAGGACTGAAAGCCTTTGATAAATAAGAACCTTTAAAATGTGTTCAATTCACAAAGCAGGGCTAAGAGATGTGTGTGCACGTGTGTGTGTGCGCGCACATGGTTTTTCTTATCTTAATGTAGAATGGCGCATCTGATCATACCAGTTAACTTTCTCAGTGTGCACTGCTGACCTGATCCCACATACATCTCTGCCTACTTCTTCCTTTCCAGAGTGGGAAAGTCACTCTTCTTCCCCAGTCCATGAGAGCTGGACAAGGTCCCAAACCACCTTCTGGAACACAGATACCTGGTTTTTCCCATCTCTGCCTGGCCTTCCTTTACTTGCAACTGACATTTATAATACATGCCAGCAACACTTTGGTCTGGAGATACTGGTGCCACCTGGCATCTACAAGCTGACAGGTGTGGGCTCCACGGGAGCAGGTGCCTATCCTATGAAATGCAAGGAAAGTAGAGACCCAGATTCCCCCGGCTTCCTTGTTCTCTAAGACATTCAGGCTACAAATGCCACATCCACTTCCTTCCTCAGTGGGGCACTGTATTGACCCACGTCTGCAGATGTAGCTCTGTGGCAATACCCACACCCCCAGGGGACTGTTTCATCCTGGCAGAACTCCCATTTTCAACCACTTGCCTCAGCTCTATTCAATCCAGTTGGCTTCTTCCACAGCTGACTTACCCGTTCTCAGGCCTCATGGTCTCTTGTGGCTTTTGTGGTAGTTGTCCTAATATGGTGGTGGACTTCTTTGGAATTAGGTCAAATTAGAATAAAAGTCCATCTAATTAAGTGAAAGGCTTAGGACTATATAAAGAAAAAGATTTTTAAAAAAATTCCCTATTTTGTATTTAGAAGAAACCACTAAACTTTTATCTGAGGCTAGAGGCATAGATTTGGAGAAAAACATTACAATCTACTCTGAAGGATAAAGTGGCAAGGAAAGCCAGGAAAGCCAGTTCCATGTTTACTCTAATTGTCTTGGGTTTACAAATTTATGATGGCTGTCACTCAGCGGCAAACCACGTAAGAGTCATGTTTCTGTAACCCAACAGACTAGGAGTTGGGAGTGGAATGGATGTTCTTGCCGGTAGAGGCGTTGGTTCCACTACCACATCCCCATAAACCTGCAGGATGAGAAAGGTCCCCTGTGGTGTTTCGGTCTCACCAACTCTAGAGAGGCCCCTGCCACAGCTCCAGGAAGGAGGCTGTCCAGGGCTTCTTTCCTTCACACAGTGGGCACAGCCACTGCCCAGCGGCCCCAGGATTGGGCCGTGGTGTGCTCTGGACTTGCTCCACTCGTACCTCATTTGCTCTCAACCAGCTATGCACAGTGACCAGGTGGTGGGTCACCCACAAAACCATACTTAACCCATTGTCTTGCTGGAGCATTGAGGGAGGAATAGATCATAGTACAACATGAAGAGGAGAAAGGGGGAAAGAAAAAAGAGGAAGGAGGGGAAAACAAAACAGGGAGAAGCTAAACACCAAATGAATTCTTGTCACTTAGCTGGGACCCAACCACTATGCATAGTGCTGTTTTCCATGAAAAAGTGTGTTCTAAGTTTCAAATAATGAAACTGGATATTTTCTACATAAAGCCAAACCTGCCAAAGGAGAAAATATTAAGTAAGTATTCAAAAGAGCTACAAGTTTTTGTTTTTAAGAAGATATCTAGGTAGAGTTTGCTACCAAAATCAAGCTAAATTGTTTTTTTTTTTAATGTCAGATGGGTAATGTGCCAACATTGTAATAAAATTTGAAGAAGGCCCATCTCACACATGCACATGAAAACCCAACCATCATGCTTATGAACTATAAAAGGATCAGTTTTTGTTTTGTCTCTTTTTTAGTTGGGATGGGACACCCAGTGATGCCTCAACATCACAATTTATCCTTGAAGGGCTGGTCACTTTAGCAAGGTCACTGTTACAGAACACATGAAAAAAAGCAATCATTGTAGGAAATAGGACAATAGCTGCTTCTACCTCCATGCTAGTATTAGGGTCAAGATCATCACACTCTGACTCCTCGGAACTGTTCGTCTCCTTGATTGGCAGCATGAGGAAGGGGGAAGAAAGAGAACACAGTTAGAACACAAGTAGCTTTTGCTAGCGAGAGAGAGAGAGAGAGAGAGAACTTCAGAGAAGCATGGGTGATGGGAAATTGGGCAGAGAAAAAACCAGGTGCTTTTGAGGTGGGGGTGCGAATCACCAAGGGCAGCAGCATGCTCTTTTCGGGGGGAGGAGGCTGGGGCTGTGTACAACTGCTTATCTCACAGGAAACAGCAATGGAAGCAACCAATGAAGCGTGAGAGCTGTAGAATTTAAACTGTTGTCTTCTGTGAGGCTGGACTTCCTAGATGAGAGTGAAGGAGAGCATACAATTTCTTTTCCCCAAGAAGGACATTAGAAAGGATTTTAATTGTTCTTTGCTCAGGAAGGACAACAAAGTGACAGGTAATCGCATTATAACACAATTAAATAATTTGTGTCTAATTTCCATCATTCAGAGGCAGATCTTTTCAGAAGGCCCAATTTGAAGAAAGCAGATGATACCGATTCAAGATGGGGGAAAAAGGGGTCTGCCAAGCTTAGAATTAGTGAGTTCAACGCAGTAGATAGATTGTTACAAAGAAATAACACAGACTTCACCAATGTGTCTCCCCACCGTGCCTGTGCATAGGGGGAGGCCAATTAAATGGCCTAGAATTGATGTCGTCTGAACTCTGGGGAAAAGAAATGAAACTTTACTAAGGACACAGTGGCCCTTAAATTCCAAACCTCAGCCTTCACAGGGTTGGGGGTTTGGAAGGTATCCCTAATCCCTTTAACCTGCATGTATTCTCAAACCTAGGATACTAAATGGGCAGCTTTGAGATATTTAATATGAATCGAGCATCTTGCATTTCTAAGAGAATAATGCTGCAGATAATTTTGCTATAAAACATCTGCATAGTATAAAGAGAAAGGTATAAAAGAAAAAAAAAGAGGTACTTACTTGAATCGAAGTTGCCAGGAGAAATAAAAAATAAAAAATAAATTGATCTTGCATGCAAAATCCTGCTAAACTACTTCCCCTCATGTTCCCGTACTGGGGGAAAAAAATCCCCTTCCACCCAAATTGCCTTGTGAGAATGCTGCAGGGTGGGGGTGGATGGGGGGAGGGACACAGCTCCAGAATACCTTACTCACTTTAACAGAGACTTTGTTGCCCAGAATATCCTTGGGTTTACGAGACCCTGTGGCTTCATTTTTACCCGTGCTCTCCACTTCCGCCCGCTTTCTCATGCGTAGAGTATGCCATGAACATGACTTCCTGTTGTACCAAAAAACGCACCAATCAAAATGGCAGGTCAGGGCAGAGTGAGGTGGTGCGCGGGCTCACCACCCTTGGGCGAGCCAGCAGGTGAGGTGCTCCATCGAGCCCAGGCTTCAGAGGCCCTGAACCTGCACGCCAGCTCCTGGTGGCCGGCAGCTGACCGCACCTCCAACTGGAAGTGAGCGAGGATGAACTCTGACCCCTCCTGGTACACGTGCAAAGTTGACTGCAGCATTTGAAGAAAATAGGAGTGCTAGGTTACCAAACTCTACCAAGGAAGGGTTTACACCACAATGATGATGCCTTATAGGACTGAGGGATCCCCTTTGGGAAGGGCATGGCGGGTGGGGGAGGAATGGGGGCTGAGAATAGGAAAGACAAGGGAAGTACATTCTATAGTGCATACACTACTGGCACTTTCCCAGGACCAGACAGAAAGACCCAAAGGATGATTTTGAGGTTTCCATCTCATTATTTGTTTTTGGGCACAGCCACTCCCAAATTTCATGGAAGAGATAGGATTTTCCAGGGCATTCAACTTAATAAACAGTTGGGTATCACTCATTTATCTGGCTATTTTAGGGCAAAGTGTTTCTCAGTCTATGTTCTCCACATCACTGCTTGTGAACAGGGCTCTGTCAATCACTAAGAGGTCCTAGAGTTTCCCTGTGTGTGCTTCCAGGGAGGGGAGAGTAGCAATGACCTTTCATTTATCCTGACTTCTTTCTTCCCACAAGGGGTTTGGGAGCTAAGCTACTTCTTCACAGGCCTGTAAGGAGAAGCCCAGAGCAGAGCTCTTAAGTTCTACAAATATCAGGACTCAAAGACAAAGACATCAAAAGCCAAGACATAAATAGCATCAGTGACCCTGAGCAGGTATCATCTATCTCAGGTGTGGTCACAGAACTTGGATGAAGTTCTAATCATTGTCTGGAATAAATAAGACTTAGCTTCCCTCAAATGTCTCCTTGTCAAATATAGTCCTACGCAGCCAGGGCTCTATGAAAAGAGCCTTCATTAAGGGAGAGAGGCAAAGGAGATCTCGGAGGAAGAAAGATACTCAAAATATATATTAATAGCATTTCCTCCACAACATCCAAGATATTAGGTCATTAAATATGAAATGTCCGATTCCAAATCAAAACTTTATTATATCTCGAACAAGAAGCAGTACAATTAACCAAAGTACACACCTAAACTATTGACAAAGTTTTGCCATCTTAATGGTAGCTTGTTTATGCCAGCAGTGAAGAAGTCTGGAGAGCGAGTGGTCATGAAATCACGAAAGGCGTTTTCCACAGCTTGTTGAGAATTCAATATTTTCCCTTGTAAGAAGTGGTCCAAAGCCTGGAGGAAGTGGTAGTCAGTTGGTGCAAGGTCTGGTGAATATGGTGGATGACAGAGAGTTTCCAAGTTCAGTTGCTGTAGTTTGAGCAGCATTGTTTGTGTGACATGTGGTCGAGTGTTGTCTTGCGAGAGGATTGGCCTGTCTCTATTGACCAATCTCAGCTGCTTAATTGCAAGCATCCTCATTATTTCATCCAATTGGATGCAGTAGACATTCGCTGTAATCTGTTGATCAGGTTTCATGAAGCTGTAGTGGATAATACCTGTGCTGGACCACCAAACAGACATCATTAGCTTTTTTTGAGGAGTATTTGGTTTTGGACTGTGTTTTGGCACTTCATCTTTATCCAACCATTGTGCTGAACACTTGCGATTGTCAAAAAGAATCCATTTTTCATCACATGTGACAATACAGTGTAGAAATGGTTTGCCTTTATGTCATGACAGTAAAGAAAGGTGAGCTTCAGGACAATTTTGCTTCTGATGCTTATTTAATCCATGTGGAACCCATCTATCCAGCTTCTTTACCTTGCCCACTTGTTTTAAATGGTCCAATATTGTTGGAATAGTAACGTCGACCCTTGCTGTTAATTCATGCGTAGGTTTAGATGGATTCTCTTCCACTGTAGCTTTCAGTTCATCATTATCCACCTTGGTCTCAGGTCGCTCACATGGCTCATTTTTAAGATTAAAATCATCAGAAAGGAACTTCTCAAACCATCGCCGTACTGTGCATTCATCAGCCACATCCTTCCCAAACACTTCATTGATATTTCAAGCTGTCTGCGTGGCATTGGTTCCATGATGGAACTCGTATTTGAAAATACCATGAATTTTTGACTTATAAATTGCTCTAAAAACTTGAAAGATAATCACAAGCCAAAAGTGCATTTGAAATACTAAGGATGAACCTTCACAATAAAAAATAGAACAAGAAGTGTCCAAGTGAAATGTCAGAGATATCAACTGTCAAAGTTAGTACTTAAGGAAATCGGACATTTCATACTTAATAACCTCAATGCATCAGGGCTTTAAGGACATACTGAGGAAGGTGATCCAAAAATACTTATCACCTAACACACAGGCACAGCAGTTAACCTTCTGAGTAGGAAAAAGCAATCACAGTTATGTTCTTGAATCTTTTGGGAAAGCGGGCTATTTCAGAAAACCAGACCTCCTCTCACACCTCCTAACTAGGCAGGCTGTCTACGATCTCCTGTGCACCAGCGCCTTGCTCCAATTGTCGTATCTAAGTGAGAACCAGCTCTGGAGGCTAACCTTAGATGATATTACCCTGTTCACTTTGGACTTTCATATCTTTATCCCCAATTCCATGAATCTGGATCCTTCTGAGAACATCTCGAATCAGGGAGGTCCCTGCTGGAAAGACTCCCAGGACAGGCAGCACAGTGTGTGTGTATATGTCTACGTGGGGTATGTTCCTATGTTTGTTACAACTCTCTGGGTTACTCAGTATGCTTGGTGAGAAACTAGAAATTGTTAAAAATAACGTTCAGAAGGAAGACTGGGAGCAGTAAAAGTGGCAGGACAGGCTCAGTTTCATATTCTTCTTCCCAGAAGAACTTGTCATCATGGTTTGGGGAGCGTCCATCTCTGGTCACAAGCCCAGGGACTGATGTGGACACAGGGTTTCAGTGACGTTTATCCTGTAGGCATCACAACGAACTGTGACCCTTGTGGTCAGAGCAGGCCCTGGGGAGGGTGCGGTGAGTGTCTTTCACTGATAAATACTGACAACCACTTTTAGTTAATTGTTCCCCTCCACGCCCCCACCCCAACCCTGTGCAAGAATAGCTGACAAGGAACCGGAATGACCAATTTGTATTTCAATCTGTTCTCTTTCACCGAGCCTGACACCCTTCCTACCTTCCCTCTCGTGGAAGATAGGAACAAGTGACCAACAGAACCAAAGGAGAGGAGGAAGAAGTACTTAGCACCTGGATATTTAGAGCATAAATCATTAAAAGCCAGCTCTGCAAGGCCCTTGATTAATAAGAACTTTAGTGTTTTGAGGGCCTTTATTCCCAAGGCGTCCTAAAAGGCACCCAAAATGAGTGTCCTTAGAATAAAATGAATTGGGCATATTGCGCCTTAGGGCCACTACCAGCGGTCATCTAGTGAGGCCAGGGTGGTGTCAGTAGCTGCCATCCCCCAACCTAGAGAGAGGGCCACAGCAATGCAGTTCTGCCAGTGCCGCTGCTCAGACAGCTCCTGGAACCCCCCTTCCCTGGATGACCACATGGCCCTGGAAAGCCGTGGGGGATGCCAGCCAAACACTGCTGTCTACTCTAGTTGTTCATTGATGGCAGGTCCTCAAGGTTGCCCAGCTGCTGAGAACCCGCTGCACAGCACCCAATCTGCACCACTGCTCATCTCAGAGGTTAGGGGAGACCAACAGGGCTGGTTAGAAGGGAAGGGTGGGGTGGAGCTTTAGCAACAAAGGCATTTTTTGTGTAGGAAAAAACTGCCAACACATTCAACCAACTCCTAAGATACATAAGAGAAAAAAAAAAAAAAGAAGAATTGTTTGCACATTTGAAAGTCCAAGAATACTGAAATGGAGGAAAAAGGGTCAACTAGTCTTTAACCTCATTAAAACATGCTCATGGTGAAAATTTATTTTACATATTTAAAATAGTACATGTAAAATTATTAGTTACATTACAGGTACAACGATGAGCACGGTGACTCTCCATGATATTGCACAACCTGACTTCATCCATATGGGTTTCTTTAAATAGTGCAAAATACTTTGTACAGGAATGTGTTCGGAAGGGTCTTCACAACCAAAATAAGGAAAAGAAGTATCTTACAAATTACCATGAACATATATTAAAGTGACAAGGGGGGGGCAAATAAAAAAAAAAAGTTACAATCTGTACAGAGGAATTGCCACAGACAACCAAAAAGTTCCCTCTCTCCTGGGAGAAGCAGCAGGCCTCTGACCTTTACAGGTCTGGCATTTGTGCTAAGGTAATTTTTTGGTGTCAATCAAAAAATATATATATATATATATCTATATCAGTTACTTAATACAATATAAATAGAAGTCCAGTCCAGTGAGTCCTGCGGTGGGTCAAATGTAGCAACGGAAGTCATGCTTTTTGTCACCTAGGGTTTCAGTAGGGTTCTTTTCTTAACGAGTGGGGGAGAAAAAGAGGGAAACAATAAGCAGAAAATTATAAACGAAAAGGAACAAAAAACCACTGCCACCACCACCAACAAAAAACCCGGAACAATCCAGCCTGGGAGCCCCGTGCTGCGTGTGGCTCCAGCACTCACACATTGGTTCCAGTGGCACTGTTGAGAATAAGCAGCAGGAATTCCCTAGCGGGTGTTTGCATTTTTTTGTTCTTTTGTTTTGAATTTTTTTAATCCACATACTCCTCTCCCGGGGAAGCCAACGAGGCACTTACTTGATGCTCCCGTCACTATTTTCTGCTGCTGCCGTGGCTTTGGTGAGGGGCGCCAGGATGCTGCCCGGGACCCAGCCCTCAGCTGCGGGGGAATGGTCGCTGGCAGGCTGGTACACCAGGCACATGTTCTGCTGGTTGACGGCGAGGACCTGGACCACCTCACCTTGGCTCACACAGATTTCATTCTCCTTCAGTGCATAGTAATCTTTGATCACAGCCATGGACGAGGTCCCATTGCAGCCTCCCAGGTCGTTCTGCTAGGAGACAGGGGTGAGAGGGACACAAACACAAGGAGACTGGTTCACAAGGGCTTGCTCTGCACCCTACTGCATGGTTAACACATTAACTGCCATGTGAATTGTATTTAACTCATGCTAGTTTTGAGCCTGGGGCCTGCAGTTGGTTCGTGAAAATCTTACTTGTTGATGTTTTCATTGTTACAATTAATATTGACAATTTAATTGCATATAACTCATGCACAGAAAACAATAAAAAATAACAAATTTTTCATTAAATTAGAAAGGATCATTTTGTTTTATAAGTTTTTACTCTATTTTCATAATAAAACACCATGGCCCCAAGGAAAAAATTTTTTTTCTAGTGTGGCAGTCAATGTGTTAAAGGCCAAATCTCCCCCTAGCAGGGTAAATAGCATGCAGAATACTCTCTTGACTAATGACATTATATTCATAAATGTGCTCTGAGAGTATACATTTATAGCAATGTTTCATATGACATTTTCATTAAGGGAGAACAGGTAGAAATAGTGCCCCAGCCCAAGTGAAGGTGTATATAAACACACCTCTACCTGGAAGCCCCTTCCTAACATGCAGTCTTCTTGCCAGCAGCATCCTCTTACAAATGGAAAGAAGAACCTGGCACTGGCACAGGGATACGTAGCACCTGGGCAGAGTAAGGTTAGGGCAAGGGTCCCAATCCTTCAATGGAAAGAACGCAGACCCTTTGATATTAATTTTCTTTTCTTTCTGGTCTTACTCTATATTCTGACTCTTCTTAAAACAGGAGTAAGAACGACACCTCTGCTCAATTCAAAGGCAAGGCCATGATCTACATTTACCCAACTCCCTGCAGGAACAGAACTCCTATAGTCCCCTCCTCTACTCATTAATACGAGAGGTACTGCCTACATGACCTTTTCATGTGAGTCTACAGCAGTGCAGCTGCTTTGAGACAGACCTGTAACTCCCAACGATGCCTGGCCGCCTCATAGAACGTGGAAGAGCCAGAAATCCTGTGTGTTGGATGTAACGCCACAGCGATTGCAACTTATTCACAAGGGCAGAGTCTTTGGTTTTTGTTTTTAATTATTATGGGTACATAATAGTTGTATATATTTATAGAGCACATGTGGTATTTTGATACAGGCATAATTAGATTATTTGATTTTTTCTATTAAGTTGTCAGACCTTCTTATATATTCTAGTTATTAATCCCTTGACAGATGAGTAGTTTGCAAATATTTTCTCCCATTCTGTGGGTTGTCTCTTCCCTTTGCTGATTGTTTCCTTTGCTGTGTGGAATGTTTTTAGTTTGATGTGATCCCATTTGTCCAATTTTGCTTCGGTTGCCTGCACTTTTGGGGTATTCCTCAAGAAGTGGACAGGACGGCTGGGCGTGGTGGCTCACGCCTATAATCCTAGCACTCTGGGAAGCCGAGGCGGGAGGATGGCTCAAGGTCAGGAGTTCAAGACCAGCCTGAGCAAGAGTGAGACCCTGTCTCTACTAAAAATAGAAAAGAATTAGCTGGACAACTAAAAGTATATAGAAAAAATTAGCCAGGCATGGTGGTGCATGCCTGTAGTCCCAGCTACTTGGGAGGCTGAGGCAGAAGGATCGCTTGAGCCCAGGAGTTTGAGGTTGTTGTGAGCTAGCCTGATGCTACAGCACTCTAGCCCAGGCAACAAAGCAAGACTTTGTCTCAAAAAAAAAAAAAAAGTGGACGGGAGGTTTTTAAGACGGAAAATCATTTCCAGGTGAAGTGATGAAATAAGTTGCTGCAGTTACTCTAATATAGAATTAATTATTATTATTAACATTAATAATTATTTTTTAACAAAATAAGTATCAACTAATAATTTGGGGGAAAAGAATGAAACTCTAAAATTGGAACATGTAGATAAAAAATGTAGGTGTTCCTATTTATAGCCCATTGAGTTCTAGAGGAAACTGAGGCCTAATGAGATTAACTTGCTAAGGTTCTAGAGCAAGTGAGTTGCAGAATTTGGAATAGAAACTTGACAGCCCGGTTCCTAATCTAGCACTTTTCCCATTTCTCTCTTGTTCTTACTACTTCTGGGGTCAAAATACCTGTGTAGACTAGGTCTATGGTTAAGTCTACAACTCTCCTCATGGTGATGTTTGGTGTGTGTGTGTGTGCGCGTATATATATATATATATATATATATACGCACACACACATATACTTATTTATTTATGTATTTATTTATATACTCATGGTGATGTTTGGGGGGGTGTGTGCATTTATTTATTTACTTACTTATTTTTTGAGACAGAATCTTGCTCTGTCGCCTGGGCTAGAGTTCCATGGCATTAGCCTAGCTCACAGTAACCTCAAACTCCTGGGTTCAAGCAATCCTCCCACTTCGGCCTCCCAGAGTGCTAGGATTATAGGGGTGAGCCACGGCGCCCAGTCAGGTATGTTTGAATTGTGGATTATTTATGATAAACATTTAATCCAAGCCTGGCTTCCCCCACTCACATACCGATGATCAACTTCCCCTTGCCACATCAAGGAGAGTGAAGAACTGTGAACTTCCTTTAGTAGGTGCTCAAGGCAGATCATCATTAGAAAGGCGATCTTTTTTTAAGATGTCATACACTAGAGTTGTGACTTTTAGATGATCAGCACCACAATCACTCTATTTGGTATAAATCACCCGTTTTCATGACTGCCATCACAATAATACCTTATATTTATATAGAGTTTCTGTAGATGATAATAGCTCCTTAACACAGAATGTCCGACTGGTCTAACTCAATTTATAGGGAAAAAGAGAAATACCTGAGACTAGACTATATTTCATGGGCTGTTCCTGCTACACACAATAACCAGCATAAAAAGCTGGTACTTACTAAAATAACCTCTGAGGCTGTGCCCTCATAGTGGCAACGGGGGGAGTAATGAGTCATCACTTACCTTGCTGGCTTCGAACTTATCCCCAGGCTGGTGGTAGTCAAACCCCGGACTGCCATTGGAGGTAGATATCTTCAGGGGTGGCAGTGGCGGGTTATAGGTGGAGCCCTTTGGGGGCTTCTCAGAGCCCACGGGGACAGAGGAGTAGGGCCTAGGGCTGGCTTGGGGAACCCTTGCAGGTTGAGACCTCATCACGGCTGTGCTTCTTTCTTTGCGCTGATACTCAATGGGTGACTGCAGTGCTGCAGGGTAAGAGCAGGCGGTCACTCTAAGCTTTGGGAATTTGGGAATCCCGCAAGGATCTGGAGGCCAGTTAGGTACAAGGCTACGTGCTAGGCATAATGTGAATACAGGAAGAAAATACGACCCTTGTTTTTAAGGAAATGTGAGAACTAAGATACCTACCTAAATAATGAAAATACAAAACCAAAACGGTACCATCTGTGACGTGCAAAATGTGGTGCAAAAGGAGGAAAGAAGGGTCTGTGGTACGTGTGCATGCGTATGTGTGTGCGTGGTGCTGCCAATAAAGAACTTCCGAAGAGGGCTGGCTGTCAGACTCTGACGTCCAGACTCTGCAGGTAGGAGGCAAGCGTGTGAAGTGTGTTTGGGAAACAGGGAGTAGTCAGATTACCCTGAGCCTCGGGCCATGGGTCTCCCCGGAGGAAGAGGAAACGTGACAGGTAAGGGAGGTTGGAGGTGCCATGGCATGAAAGACCCCAAAAGCCAGGCCAATGAGTCTGGACTTAATTCTGAAAGTCATGAAAAGTAACTGGATTAAATGAACTTCAAAGTTTTAAATTCAGATTCTATCATCAGAGCCACATTTGGGGAACATTAACCTTTAACCTTGTATTTAGGAGGAGGGACTGGAGAGGAAAAGACAAAAGGCTTCTTGTCTAATTCAGAAGCCATGAGACAGTAATAAGCGAGGGGCAGAGGGTCTAAGAAGGGCAGTGCTGGGGGATGTGGAATGCACACAGGTGGGGATGAGATGACAGCTTGGACGGGAAGAGCACGTTTGGAGACAGGAGGGTGGTAGTCAATGGAATTCAGAAGACAGGAGAACAAGCTGATTTGAAGGGAAAGACATGAGCTTTGTTTCACAGAGTTTAAGGTAACAAAGTTCCAAGGTCGGAATGCTAAAGAGGTATAGCCAGACAAACGTCATCCAGGTCAAATTCTTTAAGAATGACTTCAAGGGTTGGCCTGATTATGTCATTTTTAACAGTATTCACTGTAACAACTATTAATACTTAAGTGGGTTAACAGCTGGGGCCCAACTGTAAGGCTATTTCTACAGCGATAGGTAGGTACTTCAATAGGACTCAACACGGGGTCACGCTTCCTTTCTGTCTGAGGTCTCAGGAGGGAAAGATTGGCTCTGAGATGCCTGCACACGTCTCTGTAAGTAAAGGCCTGGCCCTGGTCCATCATCACATCCTCGTCTCTTGAGCGTGTCAAAGTATATAACAGGCCTGCCAGAGCTCAGTCTCTCTCCCTGGGGAGCATTCTGCAGGCATTAAATATTTAGATAATGATAACCTAGTTCAGCAATACATTTGGCCCTCCGTATCCATGGGCTCTGCATCTGTGAATTGAACCAACTGCAGGTTGAAAATATTTGGGAAAAAACAAAAAAGGATGGCTGTGTCTGTAACATGCTCAGATTTTTTTCTTGTCATTATCCCTTAAACGATACAGTGTAACAACTATTTATATGACATTTACACTGTATTACAAATAATCTAGAGATGATTTAAAGTATACGGGAGGGTGTACATAGGTTATGTATAAATACCATGCCGTTTCTCATCAGGAACTTGAGCATCCGCGGATTTTGGTATTCATGGGGTCCTGGAACCAATCCTCTGTGGATACCGAGGGATGACTGTATCTCTAGAATTTCACTATTATTAGGAGGAGGGTCTCTTGGAACTATGTAAAGGTCTAAATCATTGACTATGCCTGAAGAAATGCAGTTCCAGGTTTTAAGTACATAGCAGACTTGTGAAGTAGGCCTTATCAAACTGACTTCATGGCTCAATACCCATCGTATGAAACTGGGATATTACCTGATTATATACAATAACTATACTAAAGCATCTGAAAAAGTATGGCTTTTAAAATATTAAAAATTTTTAAAAAAATTTTTTGTAGAGATGGGGGCTTGCTATTGCCCAGGCTGGTCTTGAACTCCTGGGCTCCAGCCATCCTCTTGCCTCAGCCTCCCAAAGTGCTAGGATTACAGGCATGAGCCACCATGACTGGCTGTACCTTCTTAAATAAGCCACATAGAGGCTTGGCGCAGGTCTCAGCACAGGCATGAAGAGGTGGTACACCCAAAGGCACTACGCTGCGTGTACGCGTGTGGCTGCGGGTGCATATACAGGCACATGTGCTTGCTGAGTCTCCAGGTTTACTTTGTTACTGGTTACATTTTGCCTTCAACTCAAGCTCCATTTCTGCTCAAGAGACTTCTGAGCTCACCAACTCTGCACTAGTTTAAAACCATACACTCCTTTCACGAGCCAAGCTCAATGTGAAGAAAATCTCAGCAGAGGAAACAATAAAGAAACGTAAACAAGGTAGCAACTCCAGTTCACTTCACCCCTTAGGGGACTCCTGCAGGAACCATAGCTCTAAAGCTATATTCTCTTCCTAATCACCAATCGGTTCTGGGAAGTTGCGAGGTATTACTGCAATTTAGAGTTAGCTGTGGCCTCTCATTTAAAAGGGGTAAGGTTTGCTAGCAAAGTGGCTTATCCAGGCTCTCACACTGTTGGGAACAGAGTTATCTAGAGGTAACTGCTAAGCTCCTAGTTATCTCTAGATAACAGTAGAACCTGTGAGAATACCAGCCGCAAAGTGGGAGAACGTGTATCTTTGACAGTCCACCCCTAAGACATAGAGGATGTGCCCATCTCAGACTTTTGCCCTAATTAGTACCAGCTGGCAGTGGTGGCCACAAGGCATACACGCCTACGTCCTGTAAAAGAAATCCCTTCTATTAGAAAGATGACACTTCTTTCTTATACCCAATCTGTTCCACCTGGGTGTTCAGATTCAGAAGAACTCAAAAGTGTTTCTGAAAACTACAAAGTTAGAGTTTACATAAAATGTGATCTGGGCTCATAACTCACCGTGAGCCCAGACCCAAGGAAGCTCAGAGGTGAGGGGTCCTCTGAGATGGCCCCGCTAGAAACCTAGCCCGCCACCCACCGTTTAAGAAGTCTCGCTGCGTTTCTAAGACTTGATTGATGTCCTGCACCCAGGCCTGCTGGATGTCAGCGTTGGCGGCTTGCAGAATGACCCTCTCGGAAGTCTCTCTGTTCATGAGCGCAAACTTGCAGGGGTCGTTGTCCACGTTCTCCTCCAGGACCAAGTAATTCATCTGGAAGAAAGCAAGTTGATCCTCTTCATATTTAAAAGGTTTTTTTTTTTTTAACGCAGCAATATATTACTATTCCTTAAAGTTTTTATTTCAGGAGAAGCTTCCAAATTTTGCCCTGGATCTAGCAGGTCAATACTTAGGTTTCTGTCTCTGGGTGAATGACCTGATCCCAGGGACCCTGCAGGACCATGCAGGAGGCTGGCCCTCAGCCTGCCACTTTTTCTCACAGATAATTACTGCTTTTCATTCCGCCTCCACAATTGTAGGTTATTGGGCTGACAGATCTGCAGGGTGCTGGACGCTCACCGCCCCAGGCCTCGCCTCAGGGAAGCAGATCCCGAGCGCATGTCTCTTCCTGCCCCTTCTTGTCCCCACTGGGGTCCTCACCTTGATGCTTCTTTTGAACATGTAGCCCGGGGTGAGGGAGCCCTTCCTGAGCAGCTCACTGAAGATGACGATCTGCTCGAAGAGGAACACGCGCCTCTCCTTGGTCCGGGACTGCATGCCTGCGTCCAGCTCGATCACGTAGAACGTGTCCTGCTGCAGCAGCTTCCCCTGAGCAGTCAGGGTGCCCTACGGAAAGAGGGGCCAGAGTGAATCGAACGAAAACAGGGAGACGGCCATTGCCCTTGCGGTCCATAGGACCTCCCTTTCTGGGGACACAGACGACAGACCTGACATCGAAAGCCCCAGGGCTCTAGTAGGAGACTGAATTAGGACCCACAGGCTGATCCAGGGACAGACCGTGGCCACTTTCCTGTTCACACGAGGGCCCTGGAGGGAAAGGGAAGAAAGCTATGGAACCACTAAGAGACAGCTCCAGGCCAATGCCAGAAGTAAGGAAGATGAAATTATTAGCTGAAAAGAGGTTCCAGAATTATCCTGGCCCTCTTGTGTTTTATTAAAAGGAAACTAGAAAGCAGGTGACACTTGGAGCTAGAAGTGGACTTTGTGTTCTATGAGCTCTAAGAGCTGTGCCTGCCTGGCCACTTTGAAGCACGGGCCAATGACCTGGGGCACTCTCATAGCCACAAACCTAGAGCTCACCTGTGGCCAGGGAAGTGACGGAGGCAGGGCCATAGACACTCTGGTAAGTCGGGCACCGTTCCCTTCACCTTGTATTTTTTTAGGATGGGGAATTCTGAAGTTTTAGCCTCTGGCTACAGGTCAACAGGTGATGTGGGCGTACCATACATAGGTCCCCATAGTTTATAAGCTGATAGATACTTTTCTGGGTGCTGTGACCCTTCTTAAAATGACTCCAGCTACCAGGCCACCTGACACTCAGCTAAGGAGGTAGAGCCTTTTTGGTTTGCCAGTTTCTAATGAGATCTTCAGAGATATCTGAAGGGAGTATGGCTCAACCCAGCAAGTCTTCACGGAATCTGCTGGAGAGCCTTGCCTTTTCTACTGCTCTGCAACAAGAGGACCCTGACATCTGAGACAGCAAGCAGAGGGCCCTCTCTGACAGGCAGGTGTTCTTTCTCAGGGGATGACTGTTTGCCCTTTAATGCAAATATGGGCCATTCCCTTCACGTGACGCCTTAGTCCAAACATTACCCAGCACAGCAGTCATTTGTCTTTTGTGTCCCTAAGAAATGCCTGCCCTCTGCTTGGCTCCTGACTGCCAAGGTCAGCAGCCAAACAGGCTTATCTCTACCCTGGCCCAAAGTTAATATTAAGCCAGTGACCAGCTAGCCAGGAAAGCTCAAAAGCTCTATTAATATTACATAAGAACCTGATCGTGTGTTATAGTCCAGCCACACTAAAACGAAAGCCAGAGGATTTGAAAGGGAGGCAAGTAAAATGAGGGGGCTCTAATCTCCCCCAGACCCAAAGCCATGGGCTTAGGGAATAGACAGACGTTCACTGTTCTTCCTAATCAGCTGAAGGAATGCAAAGCAGATTCTCTGTGGCCTGATGAAAATGGGAGACAGTGGCGCTTGATTTAAAAAAGAAGAGAATTCCATGCTTATATGTGGCCTTCTGTGGACACACACACATACGCACACACACACGTGTATAGCACGGCTCCTATGAAGTCTAACGTGGGTCAGACAGCACAATCACATGCCACTCCTGTCAGTGGCAGCTTCTTCCAGAGACCCGGAAGAAGCCCAGCCAGACTCCTGTTCCGAAAACGTGGGGACTTCAAGGTTGAAGAGCAAAAGGGATGACTGAGTTTGTTCAGAATAGCCTCAGACCTGTCCTAATGCCAAGGAAAACAGTGTAAGACTCCACCCAGGATGACTGAAAAAAAGGTGTAAGAACTCAGAATGTGTTTCTGCTGAGCAACACTGCTCACGCTAATGCCCCAGGTCTACCTTTGAGAACCAGGAACCTGTGAAAAATGAACAGCAAAGAAGACCCTCCATGTGGTTCAAACAGGGACACACAGGATGGGCGGGAAGGGCAAGGTAGACAGGAGACCCTGGCTTAAAAACAACATGAATCCAACTCATTAACTCAAACCTGAATGTATCATCTCCTAAACTTACCCGTACCACTGTCTGCCTTATTCCAGTCTAGTTTAGCGAGGAAAAAAAAAGCCATTTCTTTCTTATTTACTTATTTTTATTATTATTTTAGTTTTTGTAGAGGCAGGGTGTCACTATGTTGCCCAGGCTGGTCTCAAACTCCTGTCCTCTCTGGAGTAGGACTCTCATCTCAGCCTCCCAAAGTGTTAGGATTACAGGCTTGAGCCATCATGCCCCAACCCATTTCTGTCTTAATTATCTCAGCTTCTAGGAATCCCTTTTCTCCAAAAAGGAATAATGAAATCTTAGGTTGCAGATTACTAGAAAACAGGAGTAGAAGACCCACACCTTTCTGTAACGGGATCAACAACTACTAGGTACTAGTCAATAATTGTGTCAGTTCCAATGTTATCACATTAATATTCAAGACATATTATGGTTAGTTTATGAGGTTTGGATACAAATTAATTAATAACAGTCATTTATTAAGTTTAAATCAGGAAAGTCAATTTGTTCTTCAAAGGTTCACTGTTCCAGGTTGAATTGTGTTGTCCCTCACCCCCTGCCACCCATCCTCCACCAATTCCTATGTCAGAATGTGACCTTACTGGGAGGCAGGGTCTTGACAGAGGCCATCTAGTTAAAGTGAGGTCATTAGAGTGAGCCCTAAGAAAATATAATTGATGTCCTTATACAAAGGAGAAATTTGGACACAGAGATACAGAGGGAAGGCAATGTCAGATGCAGGGAGAATGCCATGTGGACATGAAGACAGCCACCTACAAGCCATGGAGAGAGGCCTGGAAAAGATCCCTCCCTCACAGCCTTCAGAAGGAACCATCCTTACAATACCTTGATTTCACACTTCTAAGCCTCCAGGAGACAATATGAGACAATAAATTTCTGTCAGTTAGGCCACCCAATTTATGGTACTTTGTTATGGTAGCCCTCACAAACTAGTATATTCACTTGAACCAAAATCCTTGAGACATCTAACTATTTCCCTTAAGACTTGATTCCCCTCTTCAAAGAACAGAGACATGACTGTAATGTGTCAGAGCTTCAAACATTCATTTAACTAAAAAGCCAGTCACTACATGGACCTGTTGATTGGAACCACCTTCTCAAAAATAAAAAAAATAAATAAATAAGGTATTCTGTTCTCCTGTTTAGGTTCCACTTCTATCACACAGTCCTGCTGTCTCTCACGTTCCCAACATTTCTCAATCGAGAAAGAAAAGGGAAGGGTCAGCGCCAGGTCAAACAGTTGTAAAGAACGTTGGGTCTTTCCAGCCTCTGGGAATTCTGACTCCGGCTTGGCTGACTGCTCTGTAACTCCCTATGACTGCCCAGGCACTGGACTTGCTAAACAGATGTATCTTCCAGGCCTGTGGACCAGAGGGCCCAGGCACGGAGGCATAGTGGCCAACAAAGGAGGCAGAGGAGGCAGGACACAGGGCTCTGAAGGGAACAGGCCTCGGTGGCCTGGACCCCTGTGCCCAGGAGAGAGAGGGCTCAGAAGCATTCTCAAGGACTCACCTCAAAGCCCTGCAGGCGTCCAAGATTCATCATGTCATTGCAGCGTTTGGGAACAAGGCACATTAACTCCACTGCTTTCTGTAGGAAAGAATGATTGCCACTCAGGAGGGGCACAGCACTCAGGCAGGAAGCTCTCAGCAACTCAGGGCTGGGACACAGGGACCTCGCCTCTGGCAGCTCCCTTATTCTAGCAAAGGACACTGGTCCCTGCTGTCCGCTCTCAGGGAGTGTGGGCCTTTTCTGTTCTAGACGGGGGATGTTGGTCATAAGTCAGTAACCACATGCGGGGAGAATGGTACTCAGCCCATCCTTTTCTACCTTCCCGCTTTTGTTTAACAATTCCCTATCCTTCTCATATTTTCTTTCTTCTCTCTTTTGTTTCCTGGCTGCCCAAGCAACAGCATAGCCTGGCTTATGAAACACTAGAGGTTTTAACCTAAAATAACCTGCCAGAATGATCTATAACCTCTCTGGCTTAAAATAATCCCCATGGTGACACTGTCTCAAAGGACTTCCCTTTAGGGGGTAATCCTCAGGGTGGGGTGGGGGATGAAAACGGAATACTTTGTATGTTTGTAGATTCAAACGGTACTTGGATTCATGGATAAAGTTGCATATTGAAGCTCTGTGCAATTTATACCCAATCTCTCAAGGATGTTAAAGGGGTAAAGGATCACCTTTTCTCACTACATGTCACCAGGAGCCATGAGAACACCAGCAGGGCTAAGCTCAGGTCTGGCCCAGGACAGAATTCTTGAGTTCTAGAAAACACTCTGTTCATTAACACTCGCCATTCCTCAACCCGCTGAGTAGCTGTTCACAAGGGCCTCTTATTGTCTAAGAGGAAGTCAGTCTGGATCCTCCCGAGATGGTCTTTTCCCTTTAGAGACAGACACCCAATATGGTCCCTAAGAACAGCAAGTGTTACAAGCAGAAAACTCACCTCAATATCTGAACACTCCAGCCCAGCCTTCTCACTGTATCTCAGGAAGTCCTAGCAAGTAGGGGAAGCAGGGAAGGGTGTGGGAAGGGGTGAAATTAGTTAGTAAAATAGGCAGAGAGCTATAAAAAACTTATCATAAAAATGTGGTAACACCCTAAAAACTTTCCAGCAGAAGTGGCCATGGTTTGTAGTAGCCAAGAAACAAAATTATGAGTCATGTTAGACATGGTAATGCAGAGAAAACTCCCAGAATGTTCAAAGTCTCTAAGCTACCAGGGAAGGAGGGGTGAGAGGATGGGAGGCAGGGAGGGAGGAAAAGGGGATTATGACAAGAAAAGATGGGGGAAAGTAAAATCTTTCTTTCTATTTAACCTCACATATCATCTCCATGAGATGAATCAAGTTAAGGCATTGTTTAAAATAAAATATAATCACATTTTAGGTATTACTCACCTAAGGCTTCGAGAGCCTCGCCTTTCCCTTTCTCCCTTGTATTCCACTCTGATTTCATGCTCTTATTACTTTTTAGTGGTTTTTTTTTTTTTTTACTATTTTCTAGTTTTATTTTCAGTTAACACAAAGTCTAATATGCAAATCTTATAATGTAAACACCATGTTAAGCATTTCCATATTTCTTGATTAGAACTATCTGATAATTTGACAAGATAGAATAACTAATACTTCCTATTATGAAACGAAGTTCAAAACTACTCAGCAACAAAAAGTCAGTGACTGTGACAAAGTAAGAAAGTGAACTGAAAAAAGAAAATCAAGTAACAGCCAATGTTAAGAGCAGGAAGAAGGGCCAGGAGCAGTGGCTCACGCCTGTGATCCTAGTGCTCTGGGAGGCTGAGGCGGGAGGATTGCCTGACCTCAGGAATTGCAGACCAGCCTCAGTAAGAGTGAGACTTGGTCTCTACTAAAAATAGAAAAAAATTAGCCAGGCATGGTGCATGCCTGTAGTTCCAGCTACTCGGGAGGCTGAGGCAGGGGGATTGCATCAGCCCAGGAGTTTGAGGTTGCTATGAGCTAGGCTGATACCACGGCACTCTAGCCCAGGCAACAAAGCAAGACTCTGTCTCAAAAAAAAAAAAAAAAAAAAAGCAGGAAGAAAAGCCACGCAATTTACCTGGGGGCAAAGCTGATCTGAGTAACTAGCAGACCAGATAAAATCCTGCATGTACTACACCCCCCTCCATACCAGTTCACAGTCCTTGGGGACAGTATGGTGGAGACAGACCCTGAGCCTCACTGCTCTCCAGCTCTGAGCCTGGGGAAACCCTGCTCCCACCCTGTCCCAGGCTCCCAGCTTCTTACCTTGAGGAGCAATTGGTATTTTGTTATTCTCTGAATGGGCTTAATGAGGAAGTCGCTAAGTGTCAGCCTCTGATTTATCTCCTGTTTTACCTCCTGAAACACAAGGAAGCCATGTTAGGAAAAAGGAACCAAAGAATTGGGTGCTCTGGGTCGGGGATCAAAGGCACAGCAGACAGGTCTTCATGTTTTCCAATAAAGTTTAAGAATCTTCAAGCCATGCAAGAGGTAAAATTGCCTACAGCACTGCTCATTTGTCACGAACAAATGCGTCCCTTCTTGCGTCCCCACTGTGCTTTCACAGCAAGCACCTTCACACCTTGGTGCTCGCCCAGTGCTGGGAGACAAGCTAGAAGGGGTTCTGTTCCCTCTACCGCTCCAGAGCAAAGTCGGGGAAGAAGGGCTTCTCCTAGGACAGACAAGCCTGCGGAGCTGCGCCCTAACCTCAGATCTCTGAACACTGAGCTGAGGGCTCTTTCCAAGTGATGATGTCGCCTTTCCCTCAACAAAACAGATCCTTCCAGGCTGGGGCAAGCAGAGACTATGAAGTGGCCACAAACCCCTCAAGCGGGAGAAGGCTTCTCAGCGAGCCCTCCCAAAGGGAGTGGTGAGGAGGGCATGGTCTGCCCTGGGGTCACTTGAGAAGGAACGGAGCTTCTAAAACAGTCTCTTTGTTACAGGGTCATTCGCAAATGGAGCCTTCTCAAATCCAAGCCCAGACGGGGCCACGACAAGCAAAGCTGCTCAGGAGAATTTAGCCGAGAAGCCAATGGCTCTGTTGAGGCAGCTGCTCCTGCCACGAATGGGTCCACAGTGCCGAGAGGGAGTGACCTGCAGATGATGACGTCTGGTTTTTCTGAACACGGATGTCTTGGCCTGAGTTTCCCCGACCGCGGTTCAGCCTGGCCCGAGCAGCTTACCTCAAAGTAGGCATCGTACTCAGCGACGATGTACTCGGAGCGCGGCTTGTTCTGGCAGTACCACACGTAGATGTGCAGCTTCCGCTCCTGAAAGAACAGAGGGACAGACACGAGGACAGTCAGGCATCTTGGGCCTTTTGCTCAATCCCAGAGTGTTGTGCTGGCTGCACGTGGACAGAAGGACAAAGCCATGGTCCACACGTGGGGACGCGCCCCGGCAGCTGAAACACCAAGGGTATAAAAGTAAATGTAGCAGGCAAGAGACACCTGCCCAATTGCCAAGAAGGTTAGAAAACAAAACAAAATCTCAGAGAGGGGTGAGAAGGAAGGCCAGTCAAGGAAAAGCGAAAGAGAAGGAATTTTAAAATGAATGAAAAGGACAAGAGAGAGGCGCGGGGGGGGGAGGTGATGGAAGACACTCACGTGCTTAATAAAGAGCTGTGCCAATCTGTCTTGCTCCTGGATACACTTTTCCAGTTCAGCCAGGAAAAAACTACAAGGAGAGAGGGGAAAAGAGAAGAAAGCCACATTATTTAGAACTGTATTATTTCTCAATGATGAGATAAATGACAAAAGACTCTCACCCAAACCCTACCCCTTCGAGGTCAGATGCAGGAAGAGGACTGGAGAGTCCTGGGTTCCCAGGACACCTGACCCTCAGGGCGGTGTTGACACTTACTCCTTATGCCAGTCATAGATCTGGTGAATGTTTCCAAACACGATTTTATCCTTTCCTCGCATATCCTCGGGGACACCTTTTTCTTCTATCCTCTTCATGAAGCCCTGTGGCAGCAGAGGCAATGGTGAGTAGGTATTTCCACAAGAAAGCTTTCCGGGCCAAGCCCCACACCGCAGCACCCCTGTGAGCCCACACTCTCCGCGTGAGTCGGAGGGCAAGTGCTTCTGTAGTTTCTCACTATTCAACTAGGCCTTTACCCCTGTGCAGAGTGACAGACAAAACTGTTATGAAGTTTCTGGGTCCCTTTCTTTGTCTCCAGTCCCCCCAGGAAAGCAGAACACAGAAGAAAACAATCATTTGTCCCTCTTCCCTTCTCTAATCCAAGTGAATCAGGTCTTGAAAGGCTCAGAACTCAGACCTCTCGTCTAGAAATAAGTCTTAATATGTTGATACTTTACACTCTGTAAAATGTGACCATGCACAATGTCATTTCAGCTTTAAAATCAGGTTTTGAGGTTGTACAGGTAGCATTTATCCCCAACTGCCAGACAAGAAAACCAAGCACCCGTGTGTTAGACGACTTGTCTTAGGATCACACCACTGACGTCTGACTTCCCTGCATTTCAATCTCCACTCTCCAGACTCCCCTGTCCTCTATTCCCAGGCTGAGCTGCATGTGGAGGCTGCTGTACCCCTTGCAGCCCCTAGCTCCCTTAAAAGATGAGAATAACTTTCCATAAGTTAGAATTCAGGTCCTCTCTATGCCAGGTTAGTCTGTTTATCCAAGGTTCAGGATAAGCAAATACAAAACTCTAAGTCAGCAGATTTCCCCAGAAGGGGACTTATAGGCCAAATGTAAGCAATGTAGCAAGCAATTTAGACATGAGGCATTCAATTTTTAGACTTCATATTCTTTCATTTAAGATGATTAACATTAGGGCTTTAAGCCATCCAAATTTTCCATTTACTTTCTTAGGCTTTTTCATCTAAGTGTCTAAGTCCCTCTATAAAGTGAATCCCTATGAAGATAGAATTGTTTTATTTATTACAAAATTGACTCTTAACTGTAGACCTGTCAATTTTGGTTATTGGTGGTTTTTTTCTTTGTCTGTCTTCTTGGTAGCTGTAACATTATACTTAAAATCTATGGAAATGTGTAATCCCCAAGATTCCACTAAGAGTGACCTGCTTTGTGGCCGCAGTGGCTCACAGCTCGGAAGAATATATAGCCACGTGGTTAATTAAACACCAAAGAAAAACTCTTAAGGCAATATTTGGTCCCTAAAACAAAGAGGAATGAGCTCAGCTCTAACCAAGAGGCTCCCCTAAATGCTGTAACATTTGGGCCCCTTCCGTCCTCTAAATATCTTATAATATTTCAAGAGGAAAAGAAAAAAGTTACCTGCATATTCTATTTGATTTATTACTATTTTTATTTTCATTTCTGCAAATACCCAGAGTAAAATATAGATATTTAGTCATCAAATTTAAACATCTCAACCTCGATAGTGTCCAACATGCTCCTGGCATGGATGACCCACCCTGAACCATCTACTCACCTCCACCACAATCCCCAGATCCTTGACATAGTCCTTTTCTGTCTGAACCAGCTCATTCAGGACAAACCTGAGCAGGAGATTAAGAACAATGAGGGTTCCTCTTCATTGTTCAGCAAGAAATCTTCACACATAAGTTCACAGGGAAGTTACTTTGGCACCTTTATGACAAGACCACCCAGAAGGCCCATATCTAGCACCCAGAAAGGTGCTTACTGATGTTGTCTCTCTACGTGAGGTCCCACTGAAGAATGGAGGCCAGAAGACTAGAAAGGGCTTCCTCAGGTGACACACAACAGTCAGAGGAAGAATGATGCTCATCGCCTAGCATTCTTCTTTCTACTCTTCATGAGTCTTTCTCCCTTGCCTATAACAGAGCAATTGCACAGGCAGAGCAGAAGAATGACAAGCCCTTTGGCAAAACTGAGTTCTGAAAGCTTTGAGGCCAGGGATCAACATGCAACTTTTACTCCTTCAGCTCCTCTTCAGGAGAAAGGCACTTATCTGAAAACCAAACTTTAAGGCCTCCAAAGATATATTAATATAATAGAAGCTACAATTCTTCAGATAGGTATCCATGGTAACTGAGCTGGAAAATCCCCAGTCAAGGCCAGAAAGATTGACTGCAAACATTCCATAATCACAACTTTGAATGCAGCACTCCCTGCCCCAGGATGCAGGATTTAACAACTACAAGGACATTTGCCTTCTTGGGTTCTTTCTTGTTAATCATTTCCACCACTTAGAGCAGCGGTCCCCACCTTTTTGGCACCAGGGACTGGTTTCATGGAAGAAAATTTTTCCATGGATGTTGGGGGACAGGGGGGTGCAGCGAAACTCTGCGGCCCGGTCCCTAACAGGCCACGGACCAGTACTGGTCAGCAGCCCAGGGCTTGGGGACTGCAGTCTTAGAGCATTTACTATGTGCTAGTTACTTCATCTGGGTTTCCCCATGCTTTATAACAAGGTAGGTATTGCAAAGCTCTATTTTATTAATATAATAATGAAACTGCTAAGGCAGAAAGGTTAGGTAACTTGACCAAGATTATGAAGTGAGTAGCAGAGCTGGGATTTGAACCTGATTGTATCAGAATCCAAAAAACTGTGCTCTTTCACTAGGGCCCACTGCCTAAAAAACTACTCAGGCTGGCTCTTTGGAGTCCCTGAAGCTGCAAACCCAAACACTACTCTTTCTTTTTTCTATCCAGACAGCAAAGAGATACACACAAAATGCTTACAGTTGTGCACAGGGGCAGGGCGGTGCTGTGCAACCTACTAGAGTCTGATCCTCATTAGCTAACTGGAAAAAATTTTGCTGGGAGCCACACAACTGCATTTTTGGCCCCAGTGCAGAAGGGATAAAGTTCTGAGATGTCAAAGAGGGGCCCCAGCACAAGGGCTGTAACCATTTTGAACCCCGGAAGCAATTCATCTGAAAGTTTTGTTCTGCACAGCCCTGAGAAGCCACAGAATCCCCGGGTCTAGGGCCTCGGGGCAGTGGGGAGGAAGCAAAGGAACACATGCTGCTTTATCAGCATGCCCATCACTTCCAACTGGCTCCCTCTCTCCAGCACAGACAACCATGTGTTTTAGGCCACAGGAAGGAACTGGCAAGGCCAAATGAAAGCATTTAAATATATCTTCAGCATGGTTCAAGTTACTGCTCAGAAGAAAGTGGTAAAAGAAAACCCACAGGGAAGTCAGGGTGGGAATTCAGGGCTGGGAGGGCCCTCTGGAGATAAGGTCCAGCTCTCTGTCTCTAGGCAGTATTTTTATCCTCAACTCTTTGCTGATAGATGGGGGCTGTCTTAGGCTTGTCAGACTCTAGTGAAGGGGATTGTACTACATGCTGCTTACTTGCAGCATCTCCTCCTTGAAAGAGAGATTACACACATTAAAAGACATTCTGAAAAGTTACATCAAAGATTTGAATTACATGCATCACAACGCAGTACATGATTAATTGTAAAATAAATTGAATTGATAATAAAGCAATTCTTTTTCATGTTCAGTTCCTATTAGTAAAAGTTATTTACAAATAAATGTTATTTTTTGGTCCAACTAAAATTAGTCCAGCTGCAGGTTAGACTCATTTCTAACCTCTCTCTTTTGCAATGGCAGAGAATGGCTGGTCTTCCACAGAAAATGGTTTAGAGCCTTTGCACTGGCTGTTCCCTCTGCCAAGAATGCCTTTCCTGCCATGGCTAATTCCTTATCTCCTCCTGGTCTTTGTGCAAATGCCAGAACTACTTAAAACTGCAACATGGTCTCATCTGTATGCCTGACTTCCCTTATACTGCCTTCTTTTTTCTTTTCCCAGATTCTAACATACTACATAATTTATTTTATCATCTGATTTATTCCATTAGGATGTAAACCTTCTATGACAGCAAAGACTTTTGTTGTTGTTTGTCTTATTCAGTGATGTATCTCATTGATGGCACACAATAGGTGTTCAACAAATGTTTGTTGAATGAATGAGTGACTAAAACTTGAAAAGTAAGTTCATTCTCAACTTTTTTCTTCTCCTGGACACATGATTATTTGTGTTCATCTTTTCTCCCTGGAGCTCTCATTTAACCCTTCGATGTCCTACTGCCATCTTCTGGATTGAGTCTTGGTTCACTATACCTTTCAGCCTCTGGCCTCATGTAGGGTTTGTCATTAAACACCTACACATCTTCTCTTTCTTCATGGCCATGATGATGGCACAGGGGGATAGAATAAGAATGAAATACAGTAAGAGGCAGAGACATTCCAACAACTGCATTTGCACGAGAGTTCAGGATGTGGAGAGGTGTGGGGTTTTGGCCAGAATGAGAAGAGGGAGAAGAGACAGGTAAAGTGGGTAAAAGAGGCAGCAGACTTTGAATAGCATTGTCTGGACAATGGCTTAGATGACTGCTCAGAGGCCCGTTCAACCTAAATGACAAGAGTAGTGACTGGCTTTGCTTAGGACCACCTGCTACCTCAAAAGTCAGCTCTCCAATATACACTTTGCTTTGGCTTGACGAAGGACTAGAACCTCTCCGACTCCCGCTCCACCAGTGTAATGGCAGCCTGAGATGCTAAGAGGAATGAGCTTTGTGCAAGTCCTAGGAAATTTCCCTCTGGGGACGGTATTTCTCAAGCTCTATTCCATTCATCGACTTCTTGGGGTTTCCCCTGAGCACCCACAAAGTGGAGAGGATAAGTATGGAGTTACAGGGTTTACACGCCACTTGCTCACTCCCACTACAGGGTGACAGCCCTGCTTTAACACCAGGCCCTCGCTATGATGTTTACACTTCTGTTTCTTAGGAAACAAAGTCTTAAACGTTCACTTTGTACATTTCTAGGCAACAGAAGGGCCTGGCCTAACTTATTTTTTGCTAATTTTCATGTCTGCTCAGTGAGGATTGATGAGTTTGAGAGAGAAGGGCAGGCTAATTAATAGCATGGAGGGACCCTTTATACCTGCCTACTCAATTCTTCCTGCTGCTTATAATTTCTCACATGTTGAGCTATGTCTAAGACTCATTAGAAGCTCTGCTTCCAACACAGAGTCAAATCCTAAACAAGAAAACTAAAGTTTTAGAGGAGTTATGCTTTTAGATTAGTGGTATCCATTATCTTCTTTATCAGATCTAATAATATTAATATAAAATTGACATATCAGTGTAAATAACTCAAATCTTACATAACATGTGGGGTTTTATGAAATGGACTGTGATGTGAATTGTATTTTCTGGGGGCTATTCAAAGCAGAGAGGAGGTTCTCTTCGAATGAAACCCACAAATGGTTGTAAAGTTAAGACCTTTGGAGAAGGACTGGAGATAGGACCTGCCTGTGGTATGACAGCTCCCTTGTCCTATATGTCACTTTCCTGCATTTGGGGAAATGTTTCCTCAGGTGACCTCAATCAGACTTTCTGCAATGGTTAAGGATTCTCTGATTCTACATACCCATGACAATAGTCTCATAGTTTCCTAAACTTGGTCATTTTCCTTTTATCACTGTGTTTTAAATTTCAAACAGACCTTGGTGATAACTGCCCTTTGTCAATAGCAGCTGCTATATCACAGAACATATTTCAGCATAAACGTCTTCAAGTCAGTGCCAAAGTGGTTCAGTGTTGATCGACGTTACACTGCACAGCTCCGGGCAACCTTTACTTATAATGAATGATGTAGGAGGTGGAAATGCAGTGTGGGGAATCCCTCTCCAATTCCCCCCAACCCTTGCCTGTTGTCCACTGCACACACGTGTGCACCAGGGTGGCATCTGGGGAAGACACTTACATCCTGCCTCTCAGGGCCTTGGCTTTCTGTTCTTCTTCCAGGTTCCGAGGAGGTGTGGGCGAGGCCATCCCTTCATTTAGGCAGCCTGCGGGGTCTTTCAAGCTCCCCCGGTATGAGCCTCCTTCTAGACTCTGAAAAGAGAAGAATAAACAGCCTTAGAGAGGTATACACTGACAAGTCACTTGGAAGCCTGGTGCCTCCCCAGCCTAGCCACAGACAACTTGGAAAATCAGTATCCAAGGCTGTTCTCATCGAACTGTAATGAAGCACTCGGAGACCAAAGACTTCATGCTCCTGTAGCAGGGAGTCCAGAGCTGTCGCCTTCTTAGGCAATCAGGATGTACTTGGATTCTATATGCTGCCAATTTCCCGGACATAATGAAATTGTCAAGTGACTACCTCTGGGTAAGAGCTCCAGAGATAAAGATAATTATTGCAATTCTGCACCAAATAAGCAGCTGGAAAAGAACTAACATCAGTTGTAGGACCATCAAATACAAATTGATAAGGGCAGAGTAGTGAGAGGAGAACTAGTTTAGTAAAATCATGTTTTGTTAAATCAGCTACAATTCTTTTGAGGAGACCAATGAGATGTAGACAAGTCAATAGATTTAGCCTTTTCTAAAAACACCTTTGTTAAGGTTATTTACCAAGGGCTTTCCTTTATTTATTAATCCTTTTCATTTCTTTTAATTAAGGTGCTGCAGGATTGAAAAAATAAGTTGAAAGGATTAATATGGTACTCCAGAAGGAGCTAAGGGTAAAGGAACCTAAATTCTAATCCCAGATCTGCTAGTCACTGGAGGATCTTATGTGGGACAGCTAAAATTGTTCTATGCTTCAGTTTTTCTCAATTTTCAAATCAGATCTTCCCTCTCTACAGATTTCTAAGGAATAGAAGATGATAGTTGTATAATCCCTTTGAAGAATTAAAAATGCCCTATAATGGTGAACCCTCCCCACCACAGATAGAACTGCTAACAATAAAAAGCCTCAAAATGGAATCAATCTTAACATTTTTACAAGTGCTCTGGAGGAAGGACCCCATAGTGACACTTAGAATTTCACTACATGAATTGGCAGAAGCAATGTGGATAAAAGTAAGACCAGAGATCAAGGTCATGTTGGGCAACTAATAAAACAAATAATGGGAGACAATCCAAACTGATGCCTGTCTATGCCTGCCACTGTGGCTAAAAGGCAAAGTTTCACTTAGTAGTCTTAGAAAACATCAGCCCTAAGGTTAAAGCCACAAAGACCAAAAAGTGCTGTCCAAAAAGGTAGTAGGAAGAAAAGGCTGAAGCCTGGCCCTGAGCAATCTGCACTTGCAGCATTTGTCACAAACTCTCCCAGTTGCCGTATTTCAACATAGGCTCAACAGAGGTAGGAAAAAAAGGCCGAGGGAGAAGAAACAAAAAGAGAGCAAGGTACTTGATGCACCATTATATGAGAAAGATGAACAATATAAAGACTTGAATCGAAAAACTTAATGCTGAGAAAAGATACCAAACAACTTCTTCCACCAGCACCCCCCAATCCTCAAATTGACAAAATGTGCCAAGGGCCAAACATGAATTACCAACACTATAAATTAGAATTAAGAGGAGAGTGTCTTCAAGCTTGACAGAGAGAATTTCTTTTAACTTGGGATGAAGATATTTACAGAACAAGTAATCAACCATGGAAGTTGTTATATTCAGAGCAGCAGTATAGGCTAAAAATATAGAAAGGTCGAGAAGGGTTTAGCTACATTTATAGATACAGGATCTGTAACCTGTTATTAAGGAAATGAGAGTGTCTGGTGCTGAGGCTTGACAAGCGGCAGGCAGGCCTTCCAATGACATGTCTCCTTGTGCCATCACCAGAGACAGGCTCCAGGCAGATGGGCCCAGCTGGTGATTGATCTGATTACATGCCTTTTACTACCCCTCCCCCTTTCCCCATTGTCCTGTTACAGTCTTTGTTCTGCAGCCTGTTGGCTGGTAGCAGGGTGACTGCAAGGCCTGGGGAACGCGCCTACATCTCTGCCTACGAGGCTCTCCCCATGGAGCATCCAGCTAGGGTAGGCCACTCTCAACTTTTCTACAGAATAAAGAACATCTGAGGAGCCCAATGTGTCACATGGGAAAATATTTACATTTCCTCCCACCTAACCTGTTCTCTGAGCAAAGCAGCCCAAGTTATCTTTGGGGGAGGACTCTCTGGGATCAAAGCAGTGAGAGAGGAAGAAGAGGGAAATACAGGGTTTGGCTAAGCTATTACATATTCTGGGTAGTCTGCCCAAATGATGGGGTTGGCTACAATGCTTGCAGTAATTCAAGAGTGGTTTCCTCTAAGGACCTTTGCTAGAGTTGGGACGCTGGGCCCCAGCTAAGGGCAACGAGGGTTGACCTGCAATTGTCTGTGCTGCTCCTGGGAGAAAATAGGCAGTGGTGGCCAGTTATCTGCCACAGTGAGGACTTCTGCCCCACCTGGGGCTCAGGGCCACAACAGTCTCTGTAGACAAAGGAAAAGGTATATGAGGACAGAGCAACAAATGTTCCTATAGTCAGTCCAAGGTCAGGGAACAGAGATGCAAATAGATTCAAATAGACAATAAAGTGTGGAGGAAGGCCATCCCCTTGTTTAAAATGAACACGTTTTCCGGTCACTGGATCTGGGCTGACATACCCATAACACGCCCTTCCTGGGAGATCTCATAAGCACTCTTCACATGCACCTCCACAGCATTCATTACACAGTACCGTGATTGATCGTTTTTGTATTCGAGTAAATATTTATCAGGCATCTACTACATGCTAAAAACTTGCAAAGTGTTGGAGAAATGAGGATGCATTGAGGATGCCCTCTATAATCTAAGCTGCAGTGGCTGCTCTTCTGGCAAGAAGGGGTACATGGAGGATGAACAAAAGGAGGAGGCAGCTCTATGGTGGGGTGGAGAGGGAAGGGAAAGACAATGAAAGAGGCAAGCTTGAACTGAGGATTGAGAGATGAAAGGGGTTCATTGGATACCCCAGTGGGAGGACATTCCAGGCAGGAGCAGCCCTGAGTGAAGGGCTGAGGGGCGAAGTCCCATGGGGCAGCCTGGCCAGCTGGAAGTAGTCCAATGCAGGCAGAATATATGGTGTGAGGGAAGGGGACTGGCAAGTGACTGTTCTGTGAGTTGGGGTGAGTGGGTGCTAGAGAAGGAAGAGGTGAGGAATGAAAATAGAATCCTGGGGAAGGATGCAGGGACCAGATGACAAAGTCTTGTCTGTGGCATTAAGCAGTAGAGACTTTACCTTCTAAGATCAATGATGGGAGGGTTTTAAGCAGGGAAGTAACACACTTGGATTTAAGTTTTAGAAAGATCAGTCTTAATGTTCCAAAGGGCTTTCCTACTTTGGGAAAATATCTCCGATATGATAGTAAAGGGAAATAGAGCTTAAACTTTAAATACTCTATGATTAACTACATTATTTTTAGAAGGGTCTAGAAGAAAATACACCAAAATTTCAACACTCAATGTCTAGATGATGATTTATGCTTATACTCTTGTCATTTTTCCAATTCTTTTTGAATAAGCATATATTGCTTTTATTAGTCAGAAAAGAACTATTAAAACTTTTTTTTAAAAAAGGAAAAGAAAGATCGCTCTAGCAGTCATGTAAAGAGATATCCAACTGCAATCTGGGAGGAAACGGTTGCTAACAGTCCACGAAGGAAAGAATTTTGAGCATTAACCCTAAACTGCAAGTTCCATATAAAGAAGGTGAGGCTCTGTGCTTGATCTCAAAGCTTGGTGTGTAGGAGGACTCCAAGAATATATTGAATAGTGGAAACTCTTGGGGAGAGATCGAAGCTCCTCTGATAAGGCAACGGGTACCCACCACGCCAACCAGTCACCTCTTAGCTGCTCCTCTTTTATAAAAATGTGTATATCACACACGTTAGGATGGCTATTATTAAAAAACAAGAGACAACAAATGTTGGCAAGGGTGTGAAGAAAAGCGAACCCTAGTACACTGTTTGTAGGAATATAGATTGGTATAGCCATAATGGAAAAACAGTATAAAGGTTCCTAAAGAAACTAAAAATAGAACTACTACATGACCCAGCAATCCCTTACAAAGGTAATGAAATCAGCTCCTTGTAAAGATATCTGTACCCCAACATTCACAATAGCTAGGATATGGACACAACCTAAGCATCTGTTGATGGATGAATGAAGAAAGAGACTGGGATATATATATGTATACACACATACACACAAATGGAATATTATTCAGCCTTTAAATGTAGTATTACTCTCCTTTAAAGAGGAGATCCTGCCATTTGCTACAACATGGAGGGACCTAGAGGACATTATGCTAAGTGAAATAAGCTAGACACAGAAAGAAAAATATTACATGATCTCACTTATATGTGGCATCTAAAAAAAAACAAAGTTCAAAATAAAATATATAGAAATAGAGAATAAAATAGTGGTTACCAGGGCAGGGGGTGGGAAAGGAAATGGGAAAATATAGGTTCAAAGGATACAAAGTAGCAGATACGCAGGATAAACAGGTCTATAGAGATCCGCTGCACAACATGAAGACTATAGTTAATGAAATTGCATTGTATTAGAGATTTTTGTTAAATAGGTAGATTTTACTATGAGATGATAAATATGTTGTTTGCTTCACTATAGTAAACATTCTACTATCTACACGTATTTCATATCATGTTGTAAACCTCAAATATATACATAAAATTTATGTTAAAAAAACCCGTATAATATTCTCTGGACAAAAAGTCATATCTAAGTCATTCCTAGGCAAATTGGGGGTGGGTACAGGGACAACCACACAGTGGACAAACTGAAGTCTGGATTTTTTAGGCAAATGACATTTCAGATTTGTAACTTTGGGTTAAAAATTTGGGGTAGGAATCTAAACTTTTCTATGCTGACAAGAATCTCAGAAGTCTCTTCCACAGAGGAATACCAGATAAACTTAGTTCCTGAAACATCAACCTCCACGAAGGAATGATGGGGCCATTATTTTCTCCGATCTGGACTCTGAACTGCTGCTGACAAAGCCAGACAATTCATCTCAAGCAGAGCAAAGCACACACGCAAACACAGCCTGGCCTTTGTTGCGCTCTTCTG